ATCAATCCAACAGAGATCCTTCCTGAAATCTCTGTATGTTTAATTAATCAGGAATGTGAAGAAATTAGACAGGTAAGTTAATTAATATAAAATACTAAATTTGGGGGAAATAATTTGGACATGGGAAATGTCTTCTGTTTTCTATACTGTTTTAGACCTGAGAAAGATAATTGAAACTCATAAAAGTCCTCATATCAAAGGCATACTTACCTGGAATAGTACTTTTACTGTGAACTGAGTAATTTTTAGGTCACAGTTTTTTTTCAGGTTTGCCCTAGTCTCAGTTAAAATTACTGTATTACTTTTGTGAATAATGCTTTATGCAAATTTAAATAATATTGAACAGTTCAGCAAATAAGGAAAAGGCTCTAGACTCTGGCAGTTAAATGTTTAGCCTCTGGACACAGCTGAATTTTGTTAGATTCGTAGCTCCACCACTTACTAGCAGTGTGATCTTGGGCAAGTTATTTAACTTCTCTAAACATCTGTTTCTTCATAAATAAAATGGGAATAATAATAGTAACATACTAATATGGTGTTCTTATAAGGGTTAAATGAGATAATATATGTAAAGTACTCGTATATGCCTGGTACATAATAATAGATGCATAATACATTTTAGTTATAATTAATAATAAAAGTCACGTAAATCCCTCTACCCTGAAAAAAACCATTTGTTAACATTTTGTTTTATGCCTCCAAATATTGCTCTATGCCAATATGCCCATATTGTGAATGGTTGTCAAATGAATTAATTGTTTTCCTCTTATTGCTGATGATGACAGGTATTAGAACTTGGAGGTGAGAAGGCTTGGCTTGACTAGTGATATCATGGGTGAAGGACAAAGATGAAGGAAAGGCTATCTTAAGAGACTCTTGGGTGGTCAATGAATAAGATCCATTGAACCATAATGTACTATGATTTAAAATCAGATAGTATATGAACTGACATTTCTTCAGTAAAAACTGATAAAGGGAGAACTTTTGAAATAGTTGATCAATAAACCGCGGTTGCCTTATGTAGGTTTCCTTCAATAAAGGGATGATGGCAGGTGCAGAGAAAATGGTGGAATGCCTTCTCAAATCAGACAAGGAGAACTGGCCCAAAACTTTGAAACTGGCTTTGGAGAAAGAAGATAACCAGTTCAGTGAACTGTGGATTGTAGAAAAAGGTAAAATACTCCAAGGAGGAGCCCTGAAGGGAGAAGGGAGAGGGTCTGAGAGCATGCTGTGCCCTCCTCATGACTCTGCTTTGGGCTTCCCTCATTCCTCTGAAGGCATTTTCCCCTTCAGATTACCAGGGTTACATCTCTAAGGAGAGACCAGCATGAAGCTGGGTTCTGGGAGGGAGGCAGCTACTTGCCCATGGAATTAGTTTGATTGTATATAACCCCTAAAAATGGACCAGGGAAAACTATTTTGATCGAGAATTAGCCCATCTGGCCCAAAGGATTTGGGGAGGTAGAATCTGAGTTCCTAGTCTGAGTTTAGATTGTCAGAGAAAATAGCTTGAGAATTCTAGAGTTAAAGGTTCAAACTCCACGACTTCCCTGCTTTTCAGAATAGAATTATGATAAACATTGTCTAGTTCTCTCACCTGGAAGCCATCTGGAACTGAACCAGAACAGGAGGTGAAAGAAGAAGAATTGATTGTAATTCAGTGTCTGAGCCCCCATTTGGCTTCTCGAAGCTAATATCTTCTCAGAGCATTGTTTTAAAGGCCAAGTTTGGTAAACATCTGAATGTCTGGTCTTAGCTTTGTCTAGGCTTCTTTAGGTCATAAGTTGTTACAGAAGCATGTCTGTATAAATACACATCTGATTTCTTGGGTCAAGAGCCAGTCAGAAATGGCAGACACGTCTGCTAAATCATGCTTCTTAGTTGTGCATGTGAATCCCTTGGAGATCTTGTTACAATGCAGGTTCTCGTTCAGTAGGGGCTCAAGATTCAAATAAACCACGGAAATTGCTGGTCCATGTCCCACACGTTGAGTAATACAGTCCTAAATGACACTGGAGTTCAAACTCCAGATTGAGATTTCAAACTCAAAATAGTTCTTTAATTATTTTGAAAGGTAAATGGGAGTAGTTGTGAAAAATCTTAATGGAAGTTTAAAATTTTAGTGTTATGACCTCTTTGTGGGGCTTTCACCATTGAAACTATAATCAGGTTATGTTAAGATTCTAAGATGTTTTTGGGTCTCATGAAGGTGCAAAAGATGCTGAAATTAAAGATCTTGAGGATGATAACATGGAAACTTCTGACGTACAGATTTTCTACCAGGAAGATCCAGAATACCAGAATCTTAGTCAGAATTCGTGTCCACCTTCAGGTACTTGACATTGTTTATTATTTTTCATAATGGTGCTTTTCAGGTACTTTGTGTGGGGATGTGTTTTGCAGGGCCAAAAGTCATGACCTTGTGAAAAGGTTTTTGAGGAAAATTAGAAAGAATTTATTTTAAAATAGATACTTTTTCTATAATTAGAAATGCCATTTTCTCCTTCTGTTGCTGCTGTTTCTGCTACTTTTTTTTTTTCTTTTTTAATCTTTTACCACTAAGAAAGTACATGCATTGTCTACATTGAAAATGCAAATAGAATCCTCCAGGAAGTCAATGTCTATGAAATCCCAAATCAGCTTTGTTTTGTAAAAAAATACTTCTATTTGAGAGCCACTTGCTCAGTTTCCTTTTAAGATCCCAGGGCTGCCATGCAAGTTGATGAAGTTAGCGCCCTGCATGAATGTGCCCGGCTGAGAGGTTGAGTAGGGGCTGAGATCTGGCCTGTGGTGTTTGCCAGACGGCATCTGAGGGGTTGTGTCTCCCAAGGAGGAACGCCTTTTTCATATTTACACAGAGACTCTGTGTAAGTTTACTCTGGCCCTATGAGGCCTCCTTATGCTTCTTTTTTTTTTTTTTTTTTTT